TAGTAGGTGGAGGCCATTGCTTCTAGGTTGGAGGCCATCGCTAGTAGGTGGAGGCCATTGTTTCCAGGCTGGAGGCCATTGCTATTGGGTCTAAAGAACGTTTGACTTTGCTGGAAGGGTCGCCTACACTGTCGCCTTCCACCCGTCATCCAGTCCCTCGGGATTCGCCGACGATGCGTCCAGGGAGGTCGTCTAGAAGAATCATCGGTGAGATGTGAGAATAGGGAATCAGCTCACCAATGAGGGAATTGCTCACCAGTGAATGAGTGAAGAATATTGGGAATGAGGGAATCAGCCCACCATAGATTTCAACGATTTTCTACAATATCACCCGTGAGGCTTTTCATGCTTTCGCAGGATGAATTGCTGGAGAACGCAACATATGGTTTGTGAGTCAACAATTAGGCCAAATTCTTCTAGTTAACGCTACATATCATAAAAGATCATAATCCCTGAAAGCTGAAATCTTCACACCCTGATGGCTCTCCAAATTTGTAGGAGGTTGACTGAAGCAGTATATAGTATTCTTTGGCTGCATTGGATTTTAGATGTGTGAGGCACTTGGCATCTCGTTTTCTTGCTTTGATGAGGGTGTTTCTCTGCTTTGGAGCTGGTGCTCCTGCTGGTTGTATCTCCAAAGCTTTCGCAAGTTATCTTTTGACGTTGATCCTGTGGGCACTCAATATGCCATGTTGACGACGTCAAGTTGAGGAGGGAGTTCTCTATATAGACTGCTGGACCACACTTGGGCTGATATCATCACTCTTGAAAGTGCCTTCTCTTCAGAACGAGGGTGAGCGCGGGGGATTCGTGCTTATTCAAAGTGAATGTCAATCCATGGTAACGTATCGAATATGTATGTCACGTTGAATACGCACGAATGAATACCAATGACTTTACATCTAATATGTATGTCACTTTAATATCCGTTTCCTTATTCACTGTATGTCACTGTCGACTTGGTGAAATGCGCTTCGCAATGCTTCGCATCTCACCAATGGGCAGGGACTTGCAACCCATTTCTTCCCATTTCTTCCTCCATCGCTCGTCAGGTCTACGGCTTCTACGCGGAATGCGTGCGGAAGTACGGGGATGCCACGGCTGCTCGGGCCAAAAGAGAACACGTCGCAATGATGGCTAGGAGGGGAAACTTCTGGAGATTGGCCTCCCTCTGGATTTGTGAATTGTTCTCACTGTTTTCATATCAGGTTTCTGATTTTCAGATGGCTCAGAACCTCACTCTGGTCTGAACACCTCGTTGTTTGCTCGATCCATCGTTGGTCTTTCAAAGCCACAGTGCAAGAAACATGTTCCCGGGGCCACCGGGCAGCCCGAGGGTACTTGTACCATATTCATGTCTAGTCAAAGCCACTTGGAAGGTGTATATATATATATAGTAGAGGGACTTCTCTTGAAGCTGACCTCAGCAGACTTCAAGATTGAAGACCCTTTCAGTGCTTCTTTGGCGACCACAGCTCTGTTCGCAGGCAGACATCAACGTCAATGTGGATTGGCATAGTTGTGTTTTCAGTGCCTCTGTGTCAGATCACTCCGAAGTTTCAGTGACTAGCAAAACTATCTAAAACTTCAGTAACAGTAATGTGATGTGATTTTCATCCTCAATGGCATGGCCTTGTTTGGGTCACCAGACCCAGAACCAGACCCACCAGACCATGTATGCTCGTGGGCTGCGGGGTGGGTATGCTAGCTGGTCAGGGAAAGCTGCCGCAACGAGGTCTGGCAGTGCTTTACGGAGCTGTTCGATTACCTGCCCATTGCTGCTTCAGTGCCGACCCTCCGCTGAAGCTCAGCCGTGATCCGTGGCTTCAGCATCCTTGATTTGACCTGGAACCTGGCGGAGTCGGGCGATGTTCATTTCCCCTTATGGGTCAATCTCCGAAACTGGACCCTTCTGGGGACTCTGTTTGCCCGGTGAACCAAGAGCCGCAAATCCAAGTTCAGCCGCAATGAGCGGACCTTGGCAAGGTGGCAGGCAGAAGGGTATCTGCATGCCTGGAGTGATCTTGGGAAGCAAAACAGATTTCCCCTTGGAAAACAGATCCCCCGACCTCAAAGACCAGATCGTTTACTAGGCTTTGCAGCTCCGAAACGGCGCTGCAGCTCAGAAATCCATGGCAAGTTGGTCAGTTGCTTCAGGGAGAGATTCAGTATTTACTGCAAAAATGTTTATCGTTGCTTCTGAATCTTCTTCTTCTCGTGTCGTTGCCTCGTCGGGTGTTTCAGAACCACTCCCCATTTCTCGCTCTGGCCCCCGAAGTCGCTCGCGGCTCTGGGGAAGGCCGCGGCGACGGCTCTGGGGCCTCCGGGGCCTGTCAGGCAGAAAGCTGCCTGTACTCTTTGGTAGACATGACACGTAGCAATCGCAGCGAGTCGTGTGAAGCCACGGTGATGTTTCCGGGAAGGCGGACTACGCACGGTGGCCATCGCTAGTAGGTTGGAGGCCATCGCTACGGACGTAAGAAGAAGCTACGATAGTAGCTCCTGGCATCCCTACTAGGAACAAGAAGCGTCATGAGTATAGGGAAGAACTAGGCTCAATCGAGATTGGTCGCACGGCACTGGAAAAGCAGGGAATTGTGAGCACACTGGTGACATGGCTTTTGATATCGCAGATGGCTATCGGGAAAACAACTGACCCACTTGTTTGGATTGCCATGCCACTTGCTCTGAAATCTGGGAAAAAGGGCTCGGAAGACAAAAGAGTACAACAGAATACAACAGACATAATCTGGTTTCACTGCACCATTGGATGCACCTCGCCATCGACTCCCGATGGCGAACTTGGACGAGTCCGACGTGGAAGAAGCGGAGGAGACCCGGGCCACCAGTCGTAGGTGGGCGCACAGCGCATGGTCCTGGCCACCATCTGGGGATAGGTCAAAACCTGGAGCTCGGATGAGCTCGGAGCCCTGGTTCACCACCGAATGAACTTCCAGATAGGTCAGATAGGTCAACCAAGGCATCCTGGTTGGGCACCAGCCATCTTCAAATCCAACGGAATCCGGGTTCTCCCCCTGACACCATGGCTCACAGGGAAGGAAGGTGGCCTCACCTGCGGTGATTTCGACCAGCTGAGGAGCTGCGGCCGGTAGCTGAACCTTTGATTGAAACAGCACCACCGGAAGCGCTCAGGTGTTTTCCTTTCTTGGGGGATGAGCCAAGTGCTCACAGAGAATGATTTCTCTGCATACCGAATGACACGGCTTTTGAGTATGGCTCCAACTATGGCGGGCGCCTCCCCCTCCAAAAACGCAAGCTTGTCAAGGAAGAATGGCCGGAAATGTACTTTCTCTTCGCTGCTTGATCAGCGCCACACCTGAAGCGCTCAAAGTTCTGCGGTCGCTGATGTTTTGGTTGCGGTCAAGCTCCAATCCATTGGATTCTAGAAAGATCGAGAGCCTCCGCAACATCAACATGGTCAACACCGCCTGTAGTTCTTGTGCCTCCAAATCACTGTGGGGCCATCTCCAGAGTAGCTTCTCCCATCCCAAACGGAGAAAAACGACCTCCCAACAGCACCCGCGCACAGGCCAGCTTCGCCTCCCGAGGCTGGGGCAGTTTGGTTTGGAGGTTTTGGTCATCCAACTATGGTGTAGAGTGGGCCATCAAGCTGAGCCATGGTTTGGGGCCCCGGGACTTCCAGCTGGAGCTCGAAAGCTTCCACCGGGTCAAGTGGGTAATTTCATGAGACGCCTGCGGCTCCCCTGACACGACCTGATTCGCCCACCCCCCCCAAAGAGCTCATGTAAGATGGTTCACCTGGAATCGTTGAAGCAAAAACCTTCAACTATATAGACTAGGTTCTTTCCCCAAACAACCCTTGTTGAAGCAAACACCTAAACTACCAAAACATCAAAGAACCACCTTGAAATGGTTCGGGGTACACCGGTGTATGGTTCTCTCCATGAGCTCGTTGAGGCTGTTGTTGGGCTGTTGGTGGATTTGTGTGTGAAGATTGTCCCAGGCCGATGTGACAGGCATTCTCCTTGTCACACGGTGGCAAGGAGACCTTCAGCAGCCAGTCAAGCCCGGACTTTCGTTCGCACTTCTCTGCACACTGGCAGCATTTATCAGCTTCTGGCCGAGAAGTAGATGTCTTCTTGAATAATCCCATAATTATGGCACATCTGAAGTTTGCCTAGCAGATCTGAAGTTTGCCTAGCGAAGCAACCTAGCATAACAACCACGTGCTTTGGTGTTTGACAGGAACTAACACAACTTTTAGGATTGGAGACCATTCCATGATTCCATGAGCACCTGCAAAGATCTTAGAGCATGAAGACACTGACCTTTGCGCTGGCACCCTCTTTTTGGATCTTTTTGGGGTGACACACCTCTATTGTTCTTCAACGAGTCTACATGAACCACCGGTGCTTGCCACTTCCCCCCGCTGTTCGCCTGTTCTTCTCACACCCGACCTTGGCTTCTCCGACCCGCCATGCCAATCAACTTCGACTGGTTTGATTTGACTCCCTTTGCCACTGAGATGCACCAAGTTCTTCTGCTTGGTATGACACACCGTCCCTTGAAACGAGGACCCGAACGGTCAAGAAGCTCGAACTGGCAGTTTGCTTGATTTCTGGTGTGAAAGTTATGTTTCTACCTGAAGTTCATTGAGTTTCGACTATATACCAAGGTTTCTTGAAGAACTGCTTGGGACGACTTTTCACTGTCGCTCATATCCTTCACAGTCCCCGACTCCTGAGTATGTTGAAAACGACGGACTGGACCAGTTGGTCCTTTTTTCACCATGGGTCCACCAGTCGATCCTCATGATTGAAGGACGGCTCTTCTGAAAGAATCACAGACATGAGGAGCGACCGGCGCGACCGAGACGGTGTCGCGACGACCCCCAAGGCCAACCCTTACTTCGTGGAGACGGGCTTCTTCCAGGGCGAGGGAGCCATGAAGGCCTTGGCCAGTGGCCTCTTCCAAAAGGTCATCTCCATCGAGGCCGCATTTGGCCGTCGATTTCTCCACGGCTACGCGCAACACACGGTGGGGGTGGCCGTTTCGCCCTGGCTTCGCCGGAAAAGATGACGTAGGCATGCGTCTATGCGAGGTTTACTTGAACGGAAGAGCCTGAAAGACAGGGATTGGAGCACTGTTGAGGCACCCTTGGCTGACAGCCACAATGTCCCACTCCAAAGTTTGATGATTCCGTTCCAACTGGCTGCGGCTGCAAGAATGCAATCTTGCCGCGGTTCTCCCTACTACTGAGGAGAACACTTCAGTAGCACAAGCACTACGGAAGATGGCTGGATGATTCACCAGAGCTGGAGGTCGAATTATTCTTTTTTTTGTTTGGAAGCAGCTGGGGCTTCCAGCTCGCCCCTTTTTTTGCACATTCTTGAACAGTACCCCACTCTCTCGTGGGCAGAAACAAGGGATGCCCCCTTTTTGGGGTGCTCTCGGCTTAAATGTCTAGTCAGATGATGTTGAGCAACTCTTTGTTTAACCCACCCCTTTGGAAAGACTGAAGCTAAGAGTTCCGTAGAACGAAAAGCAGACATTCTCTCGAATCGGAAACCGGAGACCTGGACCTACCGCGGTGCAGAGAGATTTGACCGTTGGTTTCACATCTTCCCAGGGGGTCTGCAGGGTCTCCAGTGTGGAGTATGAAGAACCCAGACTTCTGGTTTCGGCGCCCGCTGGCTGCGCGCAGCCCTGGGCTCCAGGTCAACAAGGAGTTGGTGGCTCGCGCACAAGAGCGCTTCAGACTGCCATTGGCAGCTGGGCTCTTGAAGGCCCGTGTCAGAATACATCCGCACGATTGGACTGTCTTACGGTGTATGTCAAAGTGTATTATATTAATTGACTTTCAGACCATATTAGATAATACACCCCAAAAACCATACTACAGTATATGTTAGACCATCTCCGTATTAGACTTTGTATTTGTTTACCCACAAACCGAACGGGAACCGATAGAACATGATAGAACCAGGGTAAAAACCTCACGCTGGGCTCTTGAGGTCAGGACCCACCACACGGAAGCGACAAGCGATCGACATCTACCCCGCAACAGGCAGATGGATAGACCACTGTTTGTATCAAAAGTTCAGCTGGTGATGGACAGAAATCCAAGACGTCGCCAATTCATTCACCATCACCAGTCAGCTGCCACTTTTCGATCACGCTGGCGGCCCGACCTGCGGGTATCTTGACTTTCTGAACTGCGACCCCCCTAATCGCCAGGTGGTGCATGATGATTCGGTACACCTCTTCCAACATATTCAATCTTTGGAGGAGCGCCTTGGTGATGAAGGGAGCCCTTGGTGGTGATGTGGTGATGAGCCCCCCTTTCGAAACGTTTTCTCCGCGCGGACCAGTGGAAGAAGTGCAGTCTTCTGGTGTTCGCGGACCGGTCGTTTTTCCACCAAAAGGAGGTGTTCTCTGGAGCCGTTCGACCTCGCACGCACGAGGTGGAGCGAAGCGAACCGTTCGACCCCCGGCGACGTTCGGAGGTTGATCATCCAGAAACATCCAAGAACCGGGTTCATGGCACGCCCCTTGCGCATGTGGCCGGTGGTCTTCGTTTTTTCGGCCGAAGTCTTCGGCGGCTGGACTTCGGCTATGCCGAGGCCTTGCACCTTCTTCTTGGATGCCCATGGGCATTGGGTCCAGGACGAAGTCTCATCGTGACCTCATCGCGCGTCTTTCTTCGGCGGAGAAGCGTTGTCGGGTGAATGAGGCCAGCGTACAGACGGGTCGCCAGAGGCAATGTTCCTGATGGGCTGCAGATTCATCAGAGTCGCCCAAGAGAACATTTGGAGCTCTAAGCCAAGGTGTTTTGCATGGTTTTTGAAGAAGGAGAAAGGGGCCCGGCATGAGTTGTTTCATTTGCACTTGACACCAATTCCATACCAGCGGTGCAAATGGACGTTCATCCCCCCAAAGGATCCCTTATGTTGCAGGTTGCACGATGCGTAGGGAGTGGGGAGGGGTTGGAGGGGTTGCTGACCCAAACTTGCATCCCTTTTTTCCGGGGACGTCTCTTCTTGTCACTCAAATTTTCAGGCACTTCTTCTCATTCCACCTCACGGAACCCGTCTGCGCAGGAGAAGATGGAAGAACCTCACCTTCCGTCTGCGCGCAAAGTGACTCCTTCGTGCCTTGGGCGGCGAAGAAGACCCTCTCGGGACGTGGTTTCTGAGTCGAAGAACGCTCCTGGCGTTGACGTGTCCCGACATGGCCGCAGGAGAGACGTGCTTCCGTTTAAGCCTCCCTTACGCACGCAATTCAGTGATGACAGCTGTGGCTCTTCCTCTTTCAGCCTCCCAAGCAATGACAGCTGTGGCTTGGCCACTGGCCCGATCCGATGTGGTTAAGATATTGTGAACGACCAGTTGAATGACCACCGGTTCAGCCCCAAGAGTTTGGACCGCCGCAGACGGCTTGACCGCTTGCGGCAAAGTACTGTAGACACTTCCTCAGGACTTTCTGGGACTATAGTACAGTATACATAATATATCATAATATATCATAATATTATGATACTCTAGAGAGAGTCATTTGCCCTTAGAAAAGCACTTTTCAAGAATTGATACTATACCAGCTGCTTCCAAGGGTTTACCAATGGACAACCCTACACTGCCTTATAAAGGTAAACCAATTGGACACCCATTCGAAGCACTAGGTCTAGAGAGGCCATTTCCCCTTGGAAGAGCAGGCGAAGGCCATGGTCAGCAAAGTCTATTTGTCCAGTTTGTCCCAGATCACTTTGCCAAGAATTGGGGGGGGTTCAGTTCGCCAGACCCCCGTGTCGTAGCCATGTCGCCCAGCATATGCTCTGGTTCCGAGACCGGAACCTGAGAACCACAGTGGCGTTGTGGAACATCGTCTCCCAGTCTGGGTCCGTGCCATCAGGTTGTTCATTCTTCCTCGTGGACACCTTTTGTTTTCGCCTTCTTTTTGGCGGCCCGAACCGCATGCTTCTAGACCTTCGGGTTCTGAGCGGTTTGTTTTTTCTTTTTTTAATTTGTTTGCCACCCATCTTATGACTCCTTCAGCACGGGCCCAAGAGAGACATCTAGCCTGGAACTAGATTCCTAGATCACAGAACCCTGAAAAAAGGATGTTCCAAGATTTTCTGTATAAACACCCGGTGGGAGCCTCAGCCCTTCGGACCGGTCGCATGAGGACTTTTTGCCCTCTACTGGAGCCTCAGCTGCATCTTCCCTGTTCCCCTTCAGCTGCATTGGTACTTAACCCACTTGCAGAAGAGGCCAACCACCAGAACCACCAGATGGCGACCACCGTGGGCCACCGTGGGCCACCGTGGGGCGACCGGGACGGATCGGGAGACCTTCGGTTTTGGGCGAGTGAGCATGGTGGACCTAGAAAGGGCTCTCTGGTTGGTTTTGAGGGTCAAATGGTTGAGATACAATTCAACTGGTAGAGGGTCAAGTGGTGACCTTTTTGGGGTCTCAGTGGTTGTCTCTCAGGGTTGAGAGAAAAAGGGCAATTTTTCGATTGTAGACCAGACCCGATCATATGGAGGGGTCTGGGGGTCTCAAATCTGATGTATGACATGACTGTATGACGGGAAAGGGCTGGCTTCACGGAGAGTTTGGGTATGTTATAGACTTCCAGTCGCCCCCATCCTTCACTCTGCACCATCAGGAAGAGCTGGACGCGATCGCACGGCATCCCTGGGCTAAGAGCCACAAGGCCGGGCTGGGGCGGCCGGGCGAAACGGCGGTGCCGGTCTGACCGGCGGTAATCTGATGGCTGGCGGATTCTGGGCATGATTCCTTTGAGAAGGATGTAGAGAATATCGTTTTACTCGTTTTTTGAGATGTTTCAAAGTGTGATGTACAGGCCATGATTGAGATATCTCGAAGAATTCAACCAGTGTGATGTACACGCCGCATCTGTGCTGCACATCATTGGCCATGACAGTGATCACCCATTCACCATGCCGGAGAGAAGAAACACATCGTGACACCTTGAGAGCACCTTGGAGCCCTTGGTCGGGCATGGAAACTACAGGGACCCACAGCAATTGCCCAAAAAAACTGAGCACCTTGAATCACCCTTAAAGATTTGGAAGCTGACACCGACTGACACCTCTGGAATGTTCCAACTCTTTCCCGATTGACGACCGGCAGATCCTGATTGACGACCGGCGCTGCCTGCAGCGCACCTGGAGCCATCCCACTCAATCCTGGTGGCGAAGCCTTGATGAGGTGCCGTGGACGTGGACGGGGCGTCGTGGACGTGGACGGGGGAGGGGTTTGGGTGAAAACATCGTCCAAAAGGATCCAAAGGTATAGTCCAACGGGTTGGTCGGAAGCCGAGTTGTTGGGGCAAAAAGAACCAGCATGTGATGCCAACACAGGACTCCTCTTCAAACAGTGCTTTTTGCTTGGAGGGCTTTGCAAAGACTTGATTGTTGGAGTAGGTGAACATCCACCAGTAGGTGTAAGTTGTGCCATTGCCATGCCAGACAACTCATTGGTGAGGACGACCTAGGTGAGCTGAAAGACATGGACTTCTGACTGTCTTCGTGTAAACTTTCGTGAATGGACATGGATATACTCATGGGCGGTGTGGACATGGATATAAATATTTCAGGGGCCCATGTGACCTCTATAATTTTAAGGCCCCCCCCATATATACTCTACAGGCTGTTACCGAGAATGGATTTGTATGGATTTGTCAAAGCGATCCAAAAAGACCCTCCGCTCCGCTGTAAAGAACATCGACCATCGGATCTATGGGTGGCGAAGCCGCTGGGAAGCGATGTTCCGAATGCCGTCCCAGGGGTGTCCCACCAAAACCATGCAAATGTAAGTCAGATGATGTTCCTCAGCTCCTTAAGAACAACACGAAAAGGAATCAGAAAGGGTCCGGCATACCTATCATATCAAGCACATCCTCTCGTTTCTCATGTAATCCATTTCAGACTTCACTCCGTAGCGTAGCTCTTCATCTCTAAGTCTATCATCTCCCATTCTCATCCCTTCTCCCTGCTAGTCTTAACCAATGAAATCAACGGAACCTGGACGTTTCAGGAGATGGTCTTGGAGAAGCTTCGTACTGTGAACCCGGACTTTCACATCCGGTGCCTGATCTTCACTTGGGGACTCGGGGACCCCGCGGGCAAGCGAGCACACATTTTCTCCACTGGTGCGGTTCCTTTTTGGGTGACCCCAACTTAAGACTTAAGATCACTGATGGATCACTGCCCAAGTCGTAAGAGGCTTAAGACTCAAGGATCACGAGCATGGCCCCTCACAAGGTCAAGGCTACTGGGTTTTCGTTCGATCCATTGCTGTACGCTGTGCTCCTTTAGGACTGATGTCACCATCTTGACACCGACTGCACTGGCTAGTCACATTTCAGGCGCCAGGATTTTTCCACCTACTCAAGCCTCGAAAGGGACCTTGATATGGCTGTGGGTCAGCATGGAAGGGACCAGGACAGGCTTAGGGAAGCAGAGCTTCCCTGTTTGCCCATAGTATCACATCAAGAAGGGATGAGTGACAAGTGCTCAGGGAGGCAGAATGGCAAAGCCAAAATCCACCACGACGTCGGATGACAATGTTTTTTGAACCTCAAACACACTTTCGATTAGAAAGATCATGCCCTCTGTCGGTACGCTACGTGTAGGAGCAACCACTTTAGCAACCACTTTTACTTAGGCTTCACTAAAGTAGTCCATGGCATGCTCTATTTGCTTGTTTATCATCAGTATTTGCTTGTGAACGAGATAGGGCCCCCACATTTACGAGATTCTTTTGTTGATTACACTAAAGTAGTCTGAACGAGATAGTGTGATTTGCTACTAAAGTAGTCTGAAGGAGATACTGTGACATGACCTCCTACTTAAGTAGTCCAAACGAGATAGGGCCCCCACATAGTAGATATATAGTGTTTTTGAGTTTAGCACCAATTTAATGCCGCCGCACACACACACACACACATATATATATATATACATATGTAAAGGAGCAGACTGATCTCTTGTTGGATCAATGAGCACACTCTTGGATTTTCTGCCACTCCAAGGGAATTTTGCTAAGAACCAATGAAGAAAGAGACCAATAGCACCAGGCCCATAGCACCAGGGTATGGTGCACGCTGTGATGAACATTCACAGGTACATTGATGGATTGACTCCCGAAGACATCATTGCCGCGGTGCCTGCTGACCAGTAACAACTTGGCGGAGTTGCTGTTGCAGGAGGGGACTGAGCGCTTGACGAGTCATAGCCCAGAGACATGTCATCTGTAGATGTCCATTGCCCAAACCGCTCCCGACTCTTTGCCTTGCTATTTCCAGCAGAATCCGACTCTTTGCCTTGCTTTCAAGCAAGCCGAACGCCCCCAAGTCCAGGACACATGGCCGGCCTGGTGAGGTCTTTGCCGCAGCGGCGGGCGATGCCCCACTCCACCGATCCCGCCACTCCAGCGGAGGGCGCGGGGAAGTCCTTTGGAGATCTGCGGAGATCAGCGGAGCTGTTTCCGAGTGAACACCCGCAGCGCTTTCCCCCGCGGAACCTGCGCGCGCACAAAAAACGAGTTTTCATCCAGATCCTGGTCTTTCGATGCACGCAGACTGTAGATGCAGCGCATGGATGCGAAGTGAGGAAAAAGACAAGCTGTTGCTCTTTCATGCTCCTTCTATGTCAACCTTACCCAGTCCCCACGTCAACCTGGTCCTTCGACGTGGAGGGGAGTCATCCCGACTCTCCGCGCGTTCGGAACGAGACATCCCAATGGGTTTTGGTTGGCCCTCCGGGGGGGGGTTTGAGCTGGAAGGCTGGGTTGGCCTGGATCCGGTTCCAGTTTAGACCTGAAACAGGCCGCGTGGGTCCGCATGGACAGGTTGACTCAAAGGCAATGGACATCTCTTGTTCTACTGACATGTTGAGCCGAATCGCATCACTCTCATTCACTCTCCACGGGTGAAGCTGGTACTTGAGATCTCTTGACCACCAATATCAAGCAAGTTAGCAAGTCGAAGAAGCGGGAAAGGATTTGCTTGCAGAAGAGCCATAAGGGTTGATATGCTGTATAATCTCTGTGCACATATATATATATATAATACAATATATATATAGTCGTATATTATATAAAAATAATATACTTATATTATATCATGCTATATATTGCATTATACAATCTTATACACTTATGCAGGTGTCTGTGTATCTGTGTGTGTGCCACTGCGGTCAGGCCTCATGGAAATCCTCCAGGACGAACGCTTGGCCCCCAGGGCGTTGGACACCCGGGCGACTGGACACCTCTCAACCGAATTCGGCCAATGCACTGGTTACTGGTAGCAACTATAGCTACAAGTAGTAATGCCCTTGTTACGTTCGTAGCGATGCCCCTGCTACTACTAGCTTCTAGCTACTAATGCTACTAATGCCCTTGTTAGACACCTCCCAGTCTTGATCATAAGTGGATTGAACCCTTAAATATCTCCCATCTCGAGAGAGGGAATCCCAGAGCCTGTCATCGAGATCTGTCTCCGTCCTTCTCTCAGCGAGATCCGAAAAACACCCGGTCACCCGACCATCCAATCAGGTATACAGTAGGTTGAATCCCTGGCCAGTCGGGGTTCCCGAAGGCCCGGTTAGGCACGGGCCTCATCAAATCAGGTTTGACTGCATGTGACTGCATGGTTGGCACATTCATCTCATGCGAGTGGAATGAGCGTCGAATCAGAGTGGGTACCACCCGACGTTCGAACACCACTCAGTACGCATCTGGACCGCCATCGAACACACAAGCAAAAATTAAGTCCGCCAAAAGGAAGACATTTGCAGCTGAAGACCAGATGGTGTAGCTTCGGTTGAGAAGTCCTATTTCAGTGCATGGAACTAGTTGATTGAAGCTAGCTAGTTTGGTGGCCGAGGTGGCATCGGACTCGTCGTGAAGGATACATTCAGGTGTTTTAAGAATTAAACGACACATTCAAGGGATGTCCGGGATAGACATGCAGGCAGTCTGAACACCCATGCATGCTGCAGGCCAGTAAGAGAGAGAGAGAGAGAGACGGTTGATCACTTAGATAAGATACCACGTGTGATGAACAACTACTCACCATGGCTGACCATCCTAAACATGTGCTTGTTACTGGACTGAAAAACAGTTACTGACGGCGCAGGGGGGGGCCATCCCTGATGGTGGACTCGTCGTCGGATCTGAGAACGGACCCTACAGACGGACCCAGACCAGTCTGTGGGGTGAACGGATGGTGCCATGGTGTTGGCCTCCACATGTGCGGATGGCCGTACAGTATTTTTTCTTTTTACAGGATGCCATGCGAGTTGCTTGGCGCTGTGGTGCATCAGCGTGGGTTGGCTGTTGACATGTGTTGACTCTCATTCTGATGGCACTAGGAGCAAGAACGCTACTAGGGGCTATAGGCCTTACTACTAGGAACAAAGGGCATCGCTACGAACGGAACAGGAAGCTACGAACGGGGCTCCGGAGCTGCAAAGATCTGCTATACAGTGCTATGCCGCCACATAGACACTCTTCAGCTTCCTTTCTGCGAAGCATGTCCTTCTGCGATGTTTTGCAGGTATTCTGTCCGTTGCTTGGCTATGACAG